AAGGATTTCATTGCATTGATGCACCAACTGCCACAAGTGTGTTATATCATCGAAGGGTGCCGTGTTTGGTACATAACACTTCATTAGTAATGATGATCCCACAAATGGAGCTCCTACATATTAGTGCTAACCGTGTCTTTACCTCCTCCCCATGGTGGATGCATCAAAGTAAAGGAGTTTTTCCAGGCGGGAATAAGATCGCACTTCATAGGGAATAGAGGTGTTTAACAGATAAATGTTCAAAGATTTTAAATGTTTCCCCCTCACAAAGAAATGATCGGTCTAAAAATCGAATGTTCGGTGTAACACTGAGAGACAGAATACAACAACAAATTCAGCAGAAATGCGTCTAACAAATGATGACTGATCTGCATGTTCATGAGGGAAATAAGGATTTGATCCCCTTCACAAAACATGACTTAGTACTTGGTGGCAAATCCCTTGTTGGCAATCACAGAGGTCAGACGTTTCCTGGAGTTGGCCCCCAGGTTCGCACACATCTCAGGAGGGATTTTGGCCCACTCCTCTTGGCAGATCCTCTCCAAGTCATTAAGGTTTGGTGGCTGATGTTTGGCAACTCGAACTTTCAGGTCCCTCCACAGATTTTCAATTGGATGAAGGTCTGGAGACTGGCTAGGCCACTCCAGGACCTTAATGTGCTTCTTCTTGAGCCGCTCCTTTGTTGCTTTGGCCGTGTGTTTTGGATCATTGTCATGCTGGAACACCCATCCACCACCCATTTTCAATGTCCTGGCTGAGGGAAGAAGGTTCTCACCCAAGATTTGACGGTACATTGCCCCGTCCATCGTACCTTTGATGCAGTGCAGTTGTCCTGTCCCCTTAGCAGAAAAACACCCCCAAAGCAGAATGTTTCCACCACCATGTTTCACAGTTGGGATGGTGTTCTTGGGGTCATAGGCAGTATTCCTCCTCCTCCAAACACAGCGAGTTGAGTTGATGCCAAAGAGCTGGATTTTGGTCTCTTCTGACCACAACACTTTCCACCAGTCCTCCTCTGCATCATTCAGATGTTCAGTGGCAGACTTCAGACGGGCCTGGACATGTGCTTTCTTGAGCAGAGGGACCTTGCGGGCACTGCAGGATTTCAGTCCTTGTCGGCGTAGTGTGTTACCAATTGTTTTCTTGGTGACTGTGGTCCCAGCTGCCTGGAGATCATTGACAAGGTCCTCACGTGTAGTTCTGGGATGATTCCTCACTGTTCTCATGATCATTGACACTCCACGAGGTGAGATCTTGCATGGTGCACCAGACCTAGGGAGACTGACACTTGTTTTGTGTTTCTTCCATTTGTGAATGATTGCACCAACTGTTGTCACCTTCTCACCAAGCTGCTTGGCAATAGTTTGGTAGCCCAGTCCAGCCTTGTGTAGGTCTACAATCTTGTCCCTGACATCCTTGGACAGCTCTTTGGTCTTTGCCATGGTGGAGAGTTTGGAATCTGATTGTTTGATTGATCCTGTGGACAGGTGTCCTTTATACAGGTAACACAATGAGATTAGCAGCACTCCCTTTAAGAGACTGCTTCTAATATCAGCTTGTTACCTGTATGAAAGACACCTGGTAGCCAGAAATCCTGCTGAATGATAGGGGATCAAATCCTTCTTTCTCTCATGAACATGCAGATCAGTCATCATTTGTTAGACGCATTTCTGCTGAATTTGTTGTTGTATTCTGTCTCTCAGTGTTTACACCGAACATTACATTTTTAGACCGATCATTTCTTTGTGAGGGGCGAACATTCAACATCAGCAGGGGAGCAAATACACATTTCCTTCACTGTATCTATGTTGGGGAACGTATTGTCGTGGGATATAAATCTTCATGCAGCATTGGGAACTGACATTTACTAGTCAAATAGACTGTGCACTTTGCAAGTGTATTGGCACTCATTTTCCCCAGAGCTTAGTGAATACGGCTGATTTCCAACATCCCATCACTTGTAAGCAATAATGCATTTTTTTACCCTTGCACCTGATTGGATATTTACAAACTGACGCTTCACCAAATTACTAAGCTCTGGGGACAATGAGTACAACTGCAGTTGAAAAATGCATATTCTGTTTGCCTTTAGTAAATCAACCTCACTGCCTGCAGTCCATATGAGACCACTGCACCATGTGACACCCCTGCACGTCATTCTCATTTTTTTTCTGTCTACATTTCCACTCATTATACATTACATAGTTAGTCTGGCCAGAAGCGCCACTGGGGGACCCGAGAGGAGGAAGATCAGGGCTGCTCTGTGTAAAACCATTGCCAAGTATGGCATAGTTACATAGTTACTCTGGCTGAAAAAAGACGAAAGTCCATCCAGTTCAACCATTAAAAAAAAAAAAAGTTATAATCCTACACCCACAGTTGATCCAGAAGAAGGAAAAAAACCCAGCAAAGCACAATCCAATGTGCTCCTGCAAGGGAAAAAATTCCTTCCTGATCCCCCGAGAGGCAATCGGATATTCCCTGGATCAACTTTACCTATAAATGTTATATCCAGTCATATTCTGTGTATCCAAGAAAGAATCCAGGACTTTCCTACAGCAATCCACTGAGCTGGCCACAACCAACTCTGGAGGGAGTCTATTCCACATTCTCACAGCTCTTACTGTGAAGAAACCTTTCCGTGTTTGGAGATTAAATTATGTATTATACATGGAGATCATATCCCCCCTTATGTATTATACATGGAGATCATATCCCCCCTTATGTATTATACATGGAGATCATATCCCCCCTTATGTATTATACATGGAGATCGTATCCCCCCTTATGTATTATACATGGAGATCATATCCCCCTTATGTATTATACATGGAGATCATATCCCCCCCCTTATGTATTATACATGGAGATCATATCCCCCCTTATGTATTATACATGGAGATCATATCCCCCCTTATGTATTATACATGGAGATCATATCCCCCCTTATGTATTATACATGGAGATCATATCCCCCCTTATGTATTATACATGGTGATCATATCCCCCCTTATGTATTATACATGGAGATCGTATCCCCCCTTATGTATTATACATGGAGATCATATCCCCCTTATGTATTATACATGGAGATCATATCCCCCCTTATGTATTATACATGGAGATCATATCCCCCCTTATGTATTATACATGGAGATCATATCCCCCCTTATGTATTATACATGGAGATCATATCCCCCCCCTTATGTATTATACATGGAGATCATACCCCCCCCCTTATGTATTATACATGGAGATCATATCCCCCCTTATGTATTATACATGGAGATCATATCCCCCCCCTTATGTATTATACATGGAGATCATATCCCCCCCTTATGTATTATACATGGAGATCATATCCCCCTTATGTATTATACATGGAGATCATATCCCCTCCTTATGTATTATACATGGAGATCATATCCCCCCCTTATGTATTATACATGGAGATCATATCCCCCCCCTTATGTATTATACATGGAGATCATATCCCCCCCTTATGTATTATACATGGAGATCATATCCCCCCTTATGTATTATACATGGAGATCATATCCCCCCCCTTATGTATTATACATGGAGATCATATCCCCCTTATGTATTAAACATGGAGATCATATCCCCCCTTATGTATTATACATGGAGATCATATCCCCCCTTATGTATTATACATGGTGATCATATCCCCCCTTATGTATTATACATGTTGATCATATCCCCCCTTATGTATTATACATGGAGATCATATCCCCCCTTATGTATTATACATGGTGATCATATCCCCCCTTATGTATTATACATGGAGCTCATATCCCCCCCTTATGTATTATACATGGTGATCGTATCCCCCCTTATGTATTATACATGGAGATCGTATCCCCCCTTATGTATTATACATGGAGCTCATATCCCCCCCTTATGTATTATACATGGTGATCATATCCCCCCTTATGTATTATACATGGAGATCATATCCCCCCTTATGTATTATACATGGTGATCATATCCCCCCTTATGTATTATACATGGAGATCATATCCCCCCTTATGTATTATACATGGAGATAATATCCCCCCTTATGTATTATACATGGAGATCATATCCCCCCTTATGTATTATACATGGAGATAATATCCCCCCTTATGTATTATACATGGAGATCATATCCCCCCTTATGTATTATACATGGAGATCATATCCCCCCTTATGTATTATACATGGTGATCATATCCCCCCTTATGTATTATACATGGAGATCATATCCCCCTTATGTATTATACATGGAGATCATATCCCCCTTATGTATTCTACATGGAGATCATATCCCCCCCCTTATGTATTATACATGGAGATCATATCCCCCCTTATATATTATACATGGAGATCATATCCCCCCTTATGTATTATACATGGAGATCATATCCCCCCCTTATGTATTATACATGGAGATCATATCCCCCTTATGTATTCTACATGGAGATCATATCCCCCCCCCTTATGTATTATACATGGAGATCATATCCCCCCTTATATATTATACATGGAGATCATATCCCCCCTTATGTATTATACATGGAGATCATATCCCCCCCTTATGTATTATACATGGAGATCATATCCCCCCTTAATCTTCTCTCCTCAGTAGAGAATAAATTCAGTTCCTCTAATAGCTGATCTCCTCCATGCCCCGTATCAGTTTAGTTGTCCTCTGTACTTTCTCCTGTTCCCCAATGTTCTTTTTGTGAATTGGTGCCCATCGTACATTAGAATGCTCCTTACACTTGTGGTCATTGGGAAGAATTACCCCCTTACAGATTACTTATAAGATCAATGGTGTCAGTGCTATATCTTTATAGCAGAAATTGATCATTGCGCAAGGAACCTCTAGCTGAAAAACCCAGTTTTAGACCCAAATATAAAATCAATACTGAAGAAGGCCGAGGCTAAAATGTTCTACTTGCATGATGGGGCAACATTAGAGCTGATTGTTTAGAAGGCCAGGACCTGAAGTTTAACCACTTACAGTCCCGACACTCCCCCCCCCCCCTTCCAGTCCGGACTGGAAGGGGGGGAAAGCGTGCGGACTGGAAGAGGGGGGGAAGCGTCCGGACTGGAAGGGGGGCTTCCAGTCCGGACACTTTCCCCCCCTTCCAGTCCGGACACTTTCCCCCCCTTCCAGTCCGGACTCTTTCCCCCCCTTCCAGTCCGGACGCTTCCCCCCCCCTTCCAGTCCGGACGCTTCCCCCCCCCCTTCCAGTCCGGACGCTTCCCCCCCTCTTCCAGTCCGCACGCTTTCCCCCCCTTCCAGTCCGGACGCTTTCCCCCCCCTTCCAGTCCGCACGCTTTCCCCCCCTTCCAGTCCGGAGACTTTCCCCCCCTTCCAGTCCGGACACTTCCCCCCCCTTCCAGTCCGGACGCTTTCACCCCCTTCCAGTCCGGACACTTTCACCCCCTTCCTGTCCGGACACTTTCACCCCCTTCCTGTCCGGACACTTCCCCCCCCCCTTCCTGTCCGGACACTTCCCCCCCTTCCAGTCCGGACACTTTCCCCCCCTTCCTGTCCAGGCCAATTTTCAGCTTTCAGCACTATCACACTTTGACAATTGCGCGGTCATGCAACACTGTACCCATATGAATTTTTTAGCATTTTTTTTAAACAGATAAAGCTTTATTATGGTGGTATTTATTCACCACTGGGATTTTTATTTTTTTGCAAATAATCTGTCATCATAAATCTTGGCCAAAATTTATTCCGTTATCTTTTTAGTAAAAAAAAAAATAACCCAAATTAGTTTATAATCAAAAATTATAATTTTTAAACTTTTTTTACATTTGTTTTTTATATTATTTTTTTTAATTATTTTTTACATACTGTCACCCTAGCAGTAGTGTCACCATGGTGACACTGTACTACTTGTGGGGGGTGATGAAGATTTTTTTTTTTACACTGATTGCTTTTACACCCATAAAGGCTGTAAAAGCAATAATTTCTCCTTCTCTCTGGCATTCTTGCAGCCATTGAGAACTACTGTGTGAGCTGTGATTGGTCACAGCTTGTCACATGGTACAAGGCTGTTGGGATAGCCCTGTACCATGTGACCTCTGTGATCATTCAGAGATTTCACACGTAGTAAGCAATGATGTCAGAAGTGACATCTTGCTTACTACTCTGCATGTGATCACTGATTGGACAATCAGTGATCACATGATCGGGACCTCGCACAGAGGTCCCGTCCGACGATCAGTGTTCCACTGTGTCTGGAGGACACAGCGGGCACTGGATCCCAGGGAGCGCACAAGCAGGGGGCAGGGAGGCTGTTTATAAACGCCCACCCGCCCCTGCACTGCCACCATCAGGCCATTTATATACATGAGCCGGACAGGAGGTGGTTACGGTGCCCCAGTCTTGTAACTCCTCCACCAGTCTCACTGGACTTCCATATTCAAAGCCTATAAAACAAACATGGAAACATTACCGGACGTTGATTTGATTTTCTAAAGATCTGAGAGACAAATATGTCACATGGAGATGTTGATGTAGGCAGACTATTGATAATAAAGAAAGGCTTAATCAACTAGTGGAAAATGATTTCTTATAACCAAATTTTAGAAACACGAGTGCTGAAATTTGATTGGTTGCTGTGGACTGCCATAGGCCTTGATGACTCCTAAGTGAAATCAGACACACCCAGATGGCTGTTATAGGAACCTTTTTATATTTATAGTATAGCCGTGTCATCTGCTCACCTTTACATTGTTTGATCCTAAACTTGAATTGCTAATAATGATCAGTAAACGTAAAGCACATTTATTGTCTTCTGTCCTGATAATGAATGTCATGTATCTTCATGAGCTAACATGTCATGGCGTCTACTCCCAGCATGCTATGTGTTTTGTTATGCATGAGCAAAAAAGTGCATGGAGAGAGAAACTATGGAAGTATGAAGAGTGTACAAGAGGCCTGATCCATCCATGAAGTTTCTCGTTTGATCATCGTCATGGTATTTCTGGTAGTAGTTGGTCACACTTAACTGGACTGCTGTAATTCTGAAGAGAATTTATAGCTTCTCCAAGCTACTTCCTCAGTTCTAATGAGTATCAGGAACATAACATTCAGTTAAAGCTGAATTCCAGGTATGGATTTGTTTGCATAGTTACATTGGTCCAGCTTGGACCAGTGAGTGTCGGCGTATCAGAATATTGTAGGCTCCGACGAGCCGGGCCCTCTGATTCCTTATGTATCAGATTGTATTGCGTCTTTAATGTCTGCCTTCATTTGCAAACTGTTGGTGCTATATAAATCCTGTATAATAATAATACCTGTTGGGCTAATAATATAAATCTTAAATTAGTGATCCAAAAATGTAATCATGTAGTGGAAAAAAAAAAGTCCTTTTCTGCAATACGTACACTGTATTTCCAAAAATATTGGGCCAGCCCTCCCAATCATGTGATTCAGGTGTTCCAATCCCCTCCATATCATGTGATTCAGGTGCTCCAATCCCCTCCATGGACACAGGTGTATACAATCAAGCCCCTAGGCATGCACACGGTTTCTACAAACATTGATGAAAGAATGGGTCGCTCTCAGGAGCTCAGTGGCTCCAAGCGTGGTCCCGTGATAGGTGGTCACCTGTGTAATAAGTCCATCCGTGACATTTTCTGGCTACTAAATATTCCACGCTCAACTGTTAGTGGGATTATAACAAAGTGGAAGCAACTGGGAACAACAGCCACTCAGCCACCAAGTGGTAGGCCACGTCACATGACAGGGCGGGGTCAGCACATGCTGAAGCGCACAGTGCGCAGAAGTCATCAACTGTCTGCAGAGTCAATAGCTAAAGACCTCCAAACTTGGTGTGGCCTTCAGATGAGCCCAACAACAGTGCGTAGAGAGCTTCATGGAATGGGTTTCCATGGCCGAGCAGCTGCATCCAAGCCTTCCATCACCAAGTACAATGCAAAGCGTCGGATGCCGTGGTGTAAAGCACACCGCCACTGGACTCTAGAGAAGTGCAGACGTGTTCTCTGGAGTGACCAATCACACTTCTCTGTCTGGCTATCTGACAGATGTGTCTGGATTTGGCGGTTGCCAGGAGAACGGTACTTGCCTGACTGCATTGTGCCAAGTGTAAAGTTTGGTGGAGGGGGGATTATGGTGTGGGGTTGTTTTTCAGGGGTTGGGCTTGGCCCCCTAATTACAGTGAAGGGAACTCTTAAGGCGACATTTTGGACAACTTCAAGCTCCCAACTTTGTGGGAAGAGTTTGGGGATGGCCCCTTCCTGTTCCAACATGACTGCCCACCAGTGCACAAAGCAAGGTCCATAAAGACATGGAGGAGCCAGTTTGGGGTGGAGGAACTTGACTGTCCTGCACAGAGTCCTGACCTCAACCCCATAGAACACCTTTGGGATGAATTAGAGCGCAGACTGTGAGCCAGGCCTCCTCCCCCGACATCAGTGCCTGACCTGACCAATGTGCTTCTGGAAGAATGGTCCAACCTTCCCATAGACACCCTCCTAAACCTTGTGGACGGCCTTCCCAGAAGAGTTGAAGCTGTTATAGCTGCAAAGGGCGGGGCCAACTCAATATTGAACCCTACGGACTAAGACTGGGGGGCCATTAAAGGCCATGTGCGTGGAAAGGGCGGGGCCAACTCAATATTGAACCCTACGGACTAAGACTGGAGGGCCATTAAAGTCCATGTGCGTGGAAAGGCAAGCGTCGCAATACGTTTGGCAATATAATGTATATAATGCCTTTCGCATCCTGTGCTACCGCCCTGCTGAATAGTACTCATAAGAGGTCCCTTGCATGGTACAGAATACCTTGGCATTCTGTGATTGGAGGAGGTGGACAATATGATGTCACCACTCCACCTCGTCCAATTGCAGAATGCTTTGTGTCCATTGAGAAAATACAAAGTGTTCTCTGAATGGTGCCCATGCTGCGCAAAAGAACCCCTTGTGATTACTATTATTATTATACAGGATTTATACAGCGCCAACAGTTTGCACAGCGCTATACAATATAAAGGGAGACAGTCCAATTACAATACAATAACAAACCAGAGGACTAGGAGGGCCCTGCTCATAAGAGCTTACAATCTAATAACTATGCAACTCCAGCAAACTGGCATGGGATCCAGAAGACAGTGAGGATCACTTTAGTAGGGGTGGCTACTGTAAGGATCCTCCACTTCCAAAGGGATCAGCCAGTGTGAATTATGCATATCAACTTTGGGCGGCACAGTGGCTAAACGGTTAGCACTTCCACCTGGCAGTACTCGGGTCGTTGGTTCGAATCCCAACCACAGTACCACCTGCCTGGAGTTTGCATGTTCTCCTTCAGGTACTCTGGTTCCTTCCCACACTCCAAAGACATGCTGGTAGGTGAATTGGCTGTCTAAATTGTCCCTAGTATGTGCATGTATGAATGTGAGTTAGGGACCTTAGATTGTACGCTCCTTGAGGGTTAGGGCCCTTCGATCGTACGCCCCTTGAGGGTTAGGGACCTTCGATCGTACGCCCCTTGAGGGTTAGGGACCTTCGATCGTACGCCCCTTGAGGGTTAGGGACCTTCGATCGTACGCCCCTTGAGGGTTAGGGACCTTAGATCGTACGCCCCTTGAGGGTTAGGGACCTTCGATCGTACGCCCCTTGAGGGTTAGGGACCTTCGATCGTACGCCCCTTGAGGGTTAGGGACCTTAGATCGTACGCCCCTTGAGGGTGAGGGACCTTAGATCGTACGCCCCTTGAGGGTGAGGGACCTTAGATCGTACGCCCCTTGAGGGTTAGGGACCTTAGATCGTACGCCCCTTGAGGGTTAGGGACCTTCGATCGTACGCCCCTTGAGGGTTAGGGACCTTCGATCGTACGCCCCTTGAGGGTTAGGGACCTTCGATCGTACGCCCCTTGAGGGTTAGGGACCTTCGATCGTACGCCCCTTGAGGGTTAGGGACCTTCGATCGTACGCCCCTTGAGGGTTAGGGACCTTCGATCGTACGCCCCTTGAGGGTTAGGGACCTTCGATCGTACGCCCCTTGAGGGTTAGGGACCTTCGATCGTACGCCCCTTGAGGGTTAGGGACCTTCGATCGTACGCCCCTTGAGGGTTAGGGACCTTCGATCGTACGCCCCTTGAGGGTTAGGGACCTTAGATCGTATGCCCCTTGAGGGTGAGGGACCTTCGATCGTACGCCCCTTGAGGGTGAGGGACCTTAGATTGTACGTCCCTTGAGGGTTAGGGACTGATGTGAATGTACAATATATATTTAAAGTGCTGCGTAAATTCATAGTGCTATATAAGTACTTATAATAAATAAATATCCAAGCTGGATCAATGTAATTTTTAAAAAAAAAAAACAAAAACCTGGAATTCAGCTTTAATATCCAAGACCCCTTAATCCAATC